GGCGCAGGGTCCAGGCGCGCTGCGCGTGCTGCAGGCTAATTAAGCAGGGCCGGATGCGCCGGGACCGCCCGGTTGGTGGAGGCCGGAACCGGGGGTCCCCTCCTGCACACTGACCCCCGACACCCCCACGGCAACCCTACCGCACTTGGGAGCAATGCCCTCATGTCGGAATAGGTAACCCCGCGCCCGATAGCAAGGCACCGGAACCTCGCGTCTGCAAATTTACACTCCTTGTCTCCACGCTTCCAGAGGGTAACGTCTCTAGACCTAGACCAAAAAATTAGATCTAATGGCATGGATTTGTAGCGACTGTATTTGTTTTGTGCATTTAATCCCCTGGATATCTGTTTTCCTCTGTATTTGATGTCTGTTCTTACCCGCATCAGCAGTGCACATAGTTCTGCTTTACAAGCACGCATAACCAGAAAATCTACCTAGAACTAAAGTATCAAGCAAAAGCCTGCATCATGTGAACATAGGAAACAGAACTACATTATCTGTAGCACATTAAAGTGGCCATATCGTGCCAGACATTTTTGGTACCATCTTAAGCTACCTATGGGAATGCGAAATTGCAGGTGTGCATTATTTATCTACCAAAACAAAACAAAAAATTTATCTGAGTAGCACAGTTTTTACATTTTTTTTTTTTTTTTGAAAAGCAGATGCACGCAAATGACCAGAAAACCTGAGTAAAGGACACAGACCCGGCGTGTGTGCGAGCGACCAAGTGAAAGGGCCAGTGGAAAAGCTGCGCAGCTTACCTTGAATGTGTGTTTGAGCCCCTCAGAGGCGCAGTGGAGTCTAGGCGGTGCTGCCGCACCGCCGAGAAGCGGCCCGAGTGAGCTCCCTGGGAGTGGGGAAGGGGGACGCATCTCTGCCCTTATTAGTCTGTCTCCGTGTGACCCTCCCACTCGGCGAGCACGGCGGACTCCGCAGGACGGGACTCCACCAACTCGTGCGCAGGTTTTCCTTAATTACAATTAAGGCTGGGAAGAGCACCTTTCACGTTTATGTTTTATTAACCGTGGCACAAATAAAATAGTGACTGTTGGATAGAGCGTCTCACTTCTGATTATGAAGCTGCACCTTCAAAGTTGTCTGTGGCATACATTTTCAGGTAGATAGCTTGCCTTTTAACAGTTGAGCTGAAAAAGATTATAATTTATGTTTCATTTTTCAACCCTATGCCAGGAGTTTCTCTAAAGTTGTTAATCAAGGAAACCTCATCATGGTCATGTGTACAGGTTTGAGAGACTTGGTTTGTCTCACTACTCCACAGTAGTATTTTATGGTTGTAAATACATCTTTCATGGGTTGGTGCTATAAATCCTGGGTCTTGAACTCTTTGGGGATCCTTTTGAACATGAAGGTGACTTTTTTTTTTTTTCTGTAGATCTTTAAGTTTGTCTGCCTATATGGTCCAATGTCAGTGTGTGTGTAGAATTTACGTTAATGTAGGTGTATGTGCATGTATGCACATATACATATATAACACATATAGTAGGTATATACATTTGTAGGTTTATATACATGTGTGTATATAAGTATGTGTCTATAAATAGACACATACCCGCGTTTGAAAGAAAAAGAAAACCATGTGGAATTCAGAAAAATAAGTCAGGCATTAGAAAACGGATAATTACATTTAACACATAATGATTGACACATAATGATCAAAATCACTAACCTTAAAAGCTACCTTAAACCATGGAAATATGCCTCACTTACCAGCATTCACAGATCAAAAAATAAAGTCAGACTGACAAAAAATAGAATGTTGAGAAAATTATTGGGAGATAGTTCCTTTTCAGTTCATTGAAGTGAAACTTAAAAAAGACTCAATCATTTTTTTTTATGTCTTTCATTATAATACCTGCCATTTTAGAGTCTTGCCCCCATAGAGATGGCAGGATTTAAAATCTTCTATTGTGTTTTTTTTGCTTATGATTTTCATCACTAATTTGTTGGTTGACTATGGATAGAGGCCAAGGAGAGAGTATATTATGTGAGTCAGCTGCTCAAATGATCATTTGAAACACATGATTCACAACCTTCATCAGAGTTTTGGTGCCAATTCTCTAATTTTTAAAAAAAATTAACCTGATTTGAATTTTTTTGCTCTAAGTGATTGTACTTACTTTTTAATTGCTAGTGAAATGAATTGTTAGCATCCAGCATTTATTTCTCTGGCAGATTACTAAATCACCTTACTTACATTTAACTGGTACTACTTAAAGTAAGGATTTAAAACCACCTACCAGGAAATCCAAAATTTTTCCTGTTTGTATTTTGACCCAAAACAACTTCATTTTAGCATTATTTTATAAACATTTTAATGATTTTCTAATTTTATGATTTTTTTGAAGTGTTGTTTCTATCTTAGGTTACTCCTTTTCCTACTCACAACATTGAAAGAAAGTGAAAAGTGAATAAATAAAATTTAAATTATTGCTGTATGGTCACTTTGTTTCTAGATGCAACAACTTTCAGAAAAGGGTTCATATCTGAGCTATGTTTGCTTAGGTTTTGCTTCTTATTTTTGAATTAAAGCAACTTCAAGAACAACAACAAAAAAGTCCCTAACTTAGCAAATTTATTTATCTACCTAAATGGAATCATAAATGATCAGTCTTTCTTTCCACTTGCTTCTAAAGCTATTGCTGGTGAGCAAATTCTGAAAATAATATGGGTATCTGACAGCACTTTGAATTCTGGCAGACAGCCTACCGGCCTTCTAACTCCCAGTTTCACTATGTACATGTGTGCATTTAGAAAAAAATTTAAAGGTTTCAGAAACAAAGTTATCAACATTATACCCCAATGAAGACAAATGTATCTATTTTTATGCCATAGAAGGGATAAATTCCATTTAATGTATATAACAAGCTGTCCCATATTTATAATGTCCCACTTACATAATTCAAATGATTTCATTGCATCATATTTTGATAATTTCCCTATAATAAATTTAAAGAATGTGTTTTTTTCTAAACCTGTCTTCTCAGTAATTTCTACTTTCTATTTCCTTTTTTCTCTTTTTTTCCCCCTACGCTTCTGCACTCCCAGTTATGTTGCTTTTCCTATTTCTTTCTGTAATTCCTTACTTTTCTCCTCCTTCATATTTCCCATTTTCCAAGAAGAAAGAATTTTAGTATTGCCCCCAGCTTTACCAAAGTTCATTCTTTGTTGAATTTACAGGCAAAGCCATACATGACTTGCATACAAGAAAGTACTTCAGTGCATCAACAATGTATGAACAGACATTACTGTTAACTGTAATTACCAAATCAGATTTGTCACCATTAACATACAATTCCCATTCTCTTTCCTTTTAGGCCAGTACAACTGTGAAATTCTTAAGGGTAAAAAGATAAATTTCTAGTAATCATCAAAAGCAAGTTAGGGTATTTTTTAATATTCAATACTATTGTTTCTGAAAATAATTATTCTCATAGAGAAAATAATATCCCATTGCTTGTTTTTATGTTTGCTTCCATTCCTGGAAGACATTCTAGCTCCTGACATTCACTCAGCTTAGAAATGAGAGGAAGAGGTAATCATAGATGTGACTTTCACTTGGTTTATTAGACCCTCTTCCTTGGGATCAGTGACTCTGAAAGGAAATATGGTAAAAGATGAACACCTGACTGGGGAAAATTTCTATTAATATACATCCAGGTCAACAATCATTTTTTTAAATGAGTTATAAAATAATTTCTCTCAAAATATGCTAAAATAGGCAAAAAAGGAGAATGGCAAAGGAAGTACAAATGATCACCAAGCATATGAAAAATCATCAATGTAATTAGTATTCAAAGAAATGCACATTTATTTAGGAACCATCCCCCCCTACCCATTTTGCTAGAATTTATGTTAGAAATTATACACAGTGTTGGCATAAATGAGGAGAATTCTTAACACCTCTATAAGGAGCACAAAGTACCCTACTCTTTCTTAAAAGACAAATTAGCTATGTATATTAAAAAGTTTAAATATGCACATACGTTCTGCTTCATGATCTCCTCTCAGAAGAAACAGTGGTTATTTCTGAGTTAATGTTATGGGAGATTTTTGGTTATTATCTTTGCTTCTTTGTAGTATATAAATTTTCTATAGTGACTATGTATCACTGTTTTATTAAAAAATATAACAAACATGAATAAGTGTGTTGTTATATATCTCCATCAAATTAATGAAGCAGCGGTGTTAAGAAAGATGAGAAACTTGACTTTTAAGTTCTCTTTTCCATCATTTCTAGCAGGAATCTTCCAGTTAAAAGTTAATATGTAGTTTAAAACATTTTTAAACATAGTTTAGTGATTTCATTAATAAGCAGATATTAATTAACCCATTTGTCATTTGACACATATTTCAAATACTTTGTAAGCTGAGCACTCTAGAGTATACAAAGATAGGTTGAAATGTGGGCCTTGCCTCCTAGGCTTAACGTTTGGTAAGAAACAGAAGGCATATTTAATGATAATATGAAATGAAAATTCAAAATGTAATCTTCGGAGTTAAT